TTATGTCATTCTAATCTAATCACAATAGGGATAATGCAGAGTATTGGTTGCATACAAGCATACACGTGTTTCTTTAGTAGCAGGCAAAATAAACCATTAAACCAAACATGACGATATGATATTATATTCATGTTGATCGATGCACTAACTTTTCTTGGTCATGGACAAGATTATGACAAGCGACTGGAAGGGGGGGGGGGTGGGTGGTGGTGGTGGTGGTGGGGGGGGGGGGAGCAACTGCTAATGTCCACATTTCCTAAAACATCCCAGAGTACAGAAGAAGAAACTGATGAATTGCACTCAGCGCTCCAAATCCTTTGAACTTTCTGCACTACTAAATGTCTAATCATGTTTGCCCAGTTAATATACCGATATACTGGCAAAAATCAGAGGAATATCTACAATAAAGCACCTTTTTGGCTCAAAATTTATATTTCACACAATACATCACTCATTGAAATTGATATCAGAATGAAGGTATTTTAATTATCCATCTTTTGACACCAAATACATGGTGATTAGAGTTTTAGTTCAAAGTTATCTTTAAAACTCGATGTAAACACTAATGCATACAGTTTTTTTTTTTTTTTTTTTTTTTAAATAAATCTTTATTCAGATAAAATCATGGATAACATCGTAGTACATAAATATTCACAACAAAGCATACATAATAATGCAGTCATGTGGGCAAACATGTTGTTTTTGTGGAAATCAAATCAAAAAGTTTGGATTGCTATAACTTTTTATTGAAACGATATATAAACCTCTCCCTCACACAGGATATTGTTGTTGTACATAAGCAAATTCCTGGAAAGTTATGAAAAAATGCAATTCTCCGATTTTGATATATGGAAAATAATGTTTTTTGATAAAATTTAAATTTTCGAAAAAAATCACAAAATCATGTTTTTTACTTAAATTTGCGATGTTAATTAATCCCAAATTGGTATCAAAATGTAGATAATTGAACTCTCTTTTATATGACACCAAACTTATGGTGGTTCAAGGTTTCCCTAACATATTATTTACATAATACTATTTTGTCGTCAAAAGGGCCACTTTTTTGGTGGGGGCGTCCCCCTGGCCACACCTACCACTTAGAACATGCCAGACGGTCAATTTGTTATGTGGAACTATGCGATCTTTACATCTGTGCACATGAAAATTGGTTTCCTCCCCAGCTAGGTAGACCCCCCCCCCCCCCTGGCTCCCGGTCTAGGTACCCCAGGAAATGAAGGAGGGGTTTGAAAATTTGCACCACATCATTTTTGGCCAATTGGGACCCTTTTGAAGCCAAAACAGCAACAACAAAAAAAATCAACTTTGGCACAAAAATCCTACGGGAGCTGTTTCAGTGACAAACCGTACCACACTATACTCATGACTCAAGTTGCACACTCATAATAATGACGTGTCATTCTCTACTCACCTCCATTCCGCCCCTAATCTCCTTCCACTGCTCCATGCCTCGACGTTGAAAATCATCCTTGCTTGCATCGACCAAGGCAGCCCCGACGACTGCGAGGACGAGAAGGATGATGAGGGTCTGACGCATTTTGAGATTCGAGTCTCCTCCAAGATAGAGAATAAGAAATTCACGAAGAAAATGGCAGATAAAGTGGGGTAAAAGCTTCGTTGTTTATCTCAACTTCGCTTTGCAAATGGCCTGTCTTTCTGTGCCAAATTGAATACTCGCATTACTCAAAGGGGTGTTTTCCTCTTTTCGATTCTTCGTCGTTTTTGTTCCAGGTTTTGAAGCTCACCAGAGCCTATCCCACAGTTCCGCGTCTGCAAACATAAATGTTTCCTTTTTATAAAGACCAGGGGGTGTTTCACAAAGATCCTAAGTTGAACTTAACTCTAAGTTGAACTTAACAATTATGGAGAGCCATTTGTAGCCTTAAAATATAATATATTCAAAAGCAAAAAATCAAGTATTTTAGACTTTCCACAAATTCCACATCAAGAACATGAAATTTCCCATGATAATAGAAAATACGAATGATTTGAATCAACATTTTATACCTTTTAAAATGACTTTTACAAAATATTTTCAAGGATGCTAATGGCTTTCCATAACTTTTAAGTCCAACTTAGAGATAAGTTCGACTTAGGATCTTTGTGAAACACCTCCCAGAGTGTGCTTTACGGTACACGTATTTTTTCCAATGAGCAAATTTCAGAGTACGCATTGGAATGTAAACATTGAAAGAGAACACGAGACCCATTTTATTGCCATTGCTTTTGAATCAGACTTAATAGTTTCGCATTTGATAAAAAATACTCCTTGGTATAGCAACTCTATGTTGAACGTAATTATACAGTGCGTCCCAGAAAAAACGAAACCGAGAATTATCGATGTTTTATCATAACTTAATCACAATTATAATTGATAAATGACACGTATTTGTAAGGCTTAGATCCTCCTCTTTCATTTGATGCAACTCATATAATGCATATTGCATAATGCATATCACGCATGAGTGATTCAAATCAATTTGAAGAGAGGAAAACAAAAAGTCATTTAGTGGATATCTGAATTTCAATGAGTAAATCACATTTCTAGAAAGTAGCCCTTTCATATGACACCTCAATCAGGAAAAATGAGCTAGGAATAACAAAGTTCTGTTTGTTTAAAGTAGTGCTTGCATTTCCATTATTTGATTAAATTTAAATAATTTGAATTCGTTTTCACTGGCTGCCTGCCGTATCAACAAACGAAATTAACAAAAGACTTAACTCCGTTTCGTTGACAATCAGCCGTAGACGAAAGACTTCATGCATGACTGATTGTCAACGAAACAGAGTTAAGTCTTTTGTCAATTCTGCTTTTTGCTACGGCAGGCAGGTAGTGAAAACGAATTTGTTTGCTAAAATTATGAAAATATAAGGGCTACTTTAAAAAAAACAGAACTTTGTCATTCCTTGCTCATTTTTCCTGATTGAGGTGTCATTTGAAAGGGCAGAAACCCAACTTTCTAGAAATGTGATTTTCTTTTTGAAATTCAGATATGCGTGAAATATGCATCATATGAGTTGCATCAAAAGAAAGAAGAGGATCTAAGCTTTCTAAATATGTATCATTTACTAATTAAGTCATGATAAAACATTGATAATTCTCGGTTTCGTTTTTTCTGGGACGCACTGTACACTGAAATAATCAGAATAAGTTCACTTGACGTGAATTGTTCTTTATATTACTGGAAATTGGTTAGCACGTATTTCAGACTTTGCGCGTGATGATGACGTCAAGAACTTTCAGCCAATCAGGAACATGTGAGGCTGCATATAATTCTCAGACGATTTTTGGTTGTTGTTGTTGTTGTTGTTGAGTTCAGCGTTATATGAAAATCAATCAAATTTGGATGATTTGGGAAGGGGCGACTGATCTTTCAAAGGGACAGGAATTTGAATAAATTTTTATTCTGCATTTCAAATCTAGGGCAAGTCCAAGCTGTTTTGTCCCCGATGTTCGTTACCGACGACATCTAAGATTTCAGTGAGCCAATACCTGAGAAAAGATATCAAGCTGATGGCCCTATACTTGAGCTTGAATCAGACTCCACATCCAATGAAATTATATATTTTTAATCCTAATTTATTTCTACAATAACATGTATTGGTAGCGTGTGGGACGTACATGGGACATGCCCGTACATGGCCGTATATTATGTGATCTTAATGATATGTGCTGAATTTTTTTCAGTTTGACAGAGCCTCTATAGTCTATAGTCTCTCTGCTTTTTCTTCCAAGCCCAGGGGAGCGTTTCATAAAGAGTCTCTCTGTCAATGTATAGACCGATCTCCTCCCCCATTCATGTCTCTCACTTTTTCTCTCTGCCCTTTCTCTCTCTCTCCTTTTCTCTCTCTTTCCCCTCTCCCTGTAACACTCTTTCTATCCCTATCTCTCACTATAGGGTCGTGCCTAATTCTTTGCGCTCGATTACCTCCATTCTTGTCCTTTCAATTGAAGAAATCGAGAAAAAAAAAAATTATATCAAAACTGCTCATAAGTGCGTGACGCCCTTACAAAAAAAAAGCCATGTTTGATGTATATTATATAATTCTCTCTCTCTCTCCCTCTCTCTCTCCCTCTCTCCCTCTCTCTCCCTCTCTCTCCCCCCTCTCTCTCTCTCCCTCTCTCTCTTCCCCTGTCACTAATTTTGCAATTGCTTACCCCTCCATATCTCTTTGTCCTGGTTTATCTGCTCTACTTCGTCTATCTCATCAATCAACATATCACCAAAGGCACGATTACAAGATGATCAAGATTTGACTTATTTTTATTTGAGATTTACGTTTACATTCCAATAAAAATACATTATCCCAAAAAATATTTTAATAGAAAACGACTAAAGTATAAGAGCTGAATCGATACATGCACAAGAAAAAACATGTGCAAAACTTGTGGTGAAATTTTGAGCCACACCCACCCCCCCCCCCCTTATCTGCAATGAAGCACATTACAGACAATAACATTTCAACCGAAAGACATACATACGGTAAGTAATTACTCAAACTAAATGAATGTTCCCCCTTGCGCCTTCCATCCATATCCACTGAAAAATGATAATTCTTGATACAATAAAAAAAAGAAAAAAGGGGGGGGGGGAGACAGCACTCAGGTCTTCAGATCGTGTTCAAAATGAGAACATTTATTGAACTATCATCGAAAATGTATTATTACGAATAACTATTTAGTACTGCTCTTAATAGCATCGGGTTTCGAGTTTACCAGGTTGATTCCATGTTCTACACTGTACATAATAATATCATTGCTTACATTCACATATAAACTTGAACTTTAAATCGGAACAAATTAATGTATGATGATATCCAGAAATTCAATTTTTACTCAGTCTTCCCAAATACGAATGTTTGTTTGTTATTTTTTTTTAACGTACCTTCTCAATGTCATAAATTGATTTTTTTTTTTTTTTTTTTTTTTACAGAGCCGCGGAACAAATGTAACTCCTAGACAGGTATATGATAGCTTCTTAAACGCCCTCTCATGTTGAACTTCATCTCTCGGTCATCATTATGGAAATTAATTTGGGAGCCCAAGTTGGCTTGGTCAGCAGCCATCCTAGTCCGGAGCATGACCATCTGATCAACGCTAGGCCTCTGGAGTCTGTCGACCTTCTTTCACTCTCAAAGGTTCTCCTTTCCAGCTTGTCGCGTTCTTTGTGTTTTTGCCTGGACCCTGTAGATATCCATTCGGCTTCTGGTGTTGAGGGATTTCATTCTCTAAGGAAAGCAGAAGGAAAAGAAAAAAATGGAAATTAAATAAATGGAAAAGAATAGAAAGAAAAGAAATGAAATGAAAAGAAAAGAAACGAGAAGAAAAAAATGGAAAAGAAGGGAAAAGAAATGTAAAGAAAATGTAAAGAAAACGAAAGGAAAAAAAAAAAGATAGAAAAGAAATCGGGAAAGAAAAGAAACAAAAGTTTCAGATTAAACGTTTGGAAGAGACGGTAACGCTATTTATCAACTAGTTTATGATTATCCCCAAAATAAAACACTTATGACTCTAAACAACCCTTGTGTACAACATATCTAGTTCTGTTACGGAAATTTTTAGTAAAAACCTTGACATGAGACCACACCCAGAAATCTCCATTTTCTGAAATGTCTCAACTGAGTTTGCTATTCTCATCTGAAAATCTGATTTAAAATCTCTCTGATCCCTATACTCTTCGATCAAAATACAAAAAAAGCATTGAAGTTTCATTAGAACATAATAGTCCTAAATTCTAATATGATAAGAGGATCAGACGCATGAATACAAAGGAGGTCATAATGATGTGGGTGGAATATATTGCCTAACCCATGACAAGTATACAGCTACAAAACACACACACACACACACACACACACACACACACAAATGTATATAACGGGAAGAGAGAATGGGGCGTTATAGAGGACACTCCTTTTTTCAGATAAAAATTTAGAGAAATTAAGAAGTCCTATACCAATTGGGTTTGTGCCAACTGCAAAACGTAATAAAACATGGCTGTCATGCGGGATATATTACACAAAAGTATGATTGTGACTATCATGACCATTTTCTGGCTATAATAACAAAACTCGCTAAATGTTAGTATACATTTTGTTTGTGATAGGAGAATTTGTATATACTGCAAGAATCATGCACATTCATGACTCGAGTTGCACAATCACGATTAAATGTTGAAATTTTCCCCCAGAAACATGACGTGTCATTCTCTCTACTCACCTCCTTTCCCAACAGTACCCTGCGACATGCGACGACGTGTAGCCTGCGGCATGCGACGACGTGTAGCCTGCGTCATGCGACGACGTGTAGCCTGCGTCATGCGACGACGTTTAAAATCAGACCCGGCATCGACCAAGGCAGCCCCGATAACTGCGAGGACGAGAAGGATGATGAGGGTCTGACGCATCTTGAGATTCGAGTCTTTTCCGAGATAGAGAATAAGAAATTCACGAAGAAAATGGCAGATAAAGTGGCGTAAAAGTTTTGTTTCCAAACAGGGTGTTTATCTCAGCTGCGCTCTGTCCTTCTGTGCCAATACTCGCATTACACCAAAATAAAAGGGGTGTATTCCTCTAAAGTTACGTAACAATAAATATTTTCAGCTCTTCGTCTGAATTGTTCAAGGTTTTGAAGCTGTAGTTCTCACTCACCAGAGCATATCCGACATATCACGTGTGCAAACAGAAATGCTTTCTTTTCCAAAAAGTCCAGGATGTACTTTACAGTACACATTTTTTTTTCATGGAGCAAATTAAGCTCACAGTACGCATTGGAATGGAAAAATTGAAAGAGAAGACGAGATCCATTTTATTGCCATTGCTTTTGAATTAGACTTTATTGTTTCGCATTTGATAAAAATACTCCTTGGTTTGGCAACTGTATGTTGAACGTAATTTTACACTGTAATAATCAGATTGAGTTCACTAGACGTGAATTGTCCCTTCTGCAAATGGGTTAGCACGTATTTCAGGCATTGCGCGTCACGATGACGTCAAGAACTTTCAGCCAATCAGAATCACGCGAGGCTGCATATATTCTCAGACGATTTTTGGTTGATGTTGTTGTTGTTGTTGTTGAGTTCAGCATTGTATGGCAATCAATCAAGGTTGAATGATTTGGGAAGGGGCGACTGATGTATCAAAGGGAAGGGAAATCGAATAAATTTGTATTCTGCATTTCAAATCTAGGGCAATTCCAAGCTGTTTTGTCCCCGATGTTCGTTACCGACGACATCTAAGATTTCAGTGAGCCAATACCTGAGAAAAGGTATCAAGCTGGCACCCCTACTTGAGTTTGAATCAGACTCCACATCCAATGAAATGATACACTGTTGGTCATAATGGTGGAATATTTATTTTTACCCCAGTTTAGGGAAGGATTTAAAAAAATTATTTATTTCTAATAGATCTAGATAATGGCATACATTCTCAGATTTTATTGAATATTAATTTGAGAGTGTTTGTTTTGCGTGACTGCTTAATCATAATTGTGCTACTATGCTAATCAGCTAAGGGACCTACGTCCTTAAGTCATAATTGACAGTAATGAGGATTAATGCCTCACAAAAGGGCACTTATATATAGCTGATCGACTCGATTTTTATCCCGGAGCCTCACAGTAACGAGGCCATTGCTTAGCCCCTGAATCATGACTGTACGCAGTGTTTGCTAGGGTACGCGGCCCCTTCCACAAATCCCCCAAAACGAAGAAAATGCAATAAATTGTCAAAAATTCAATGCATTTTCCCCCGGCCCCCAACAGGAAAAAACTTCTCTGTAGGGCCATGCATTATGGTTCAAGGCATGGCCACACAGAGGAATTTTTCCTGTTGGGGGCCGGGGGAAAATGCAATTAATTTTTGACAATTTATTGCATTTTCTTCATTTTGGGGGATTTGTGGAAGGGGCCGCGTACCCTAGCAAACACTGCGTACAGTCATGATTCAGGGGCTAAGCAATGGCCTCGTTACTGTGAGGCCCCAGGATAAAAATCGTGTCGATCAGCTATATTAGTGCCCTTTTGTGAGGCATTAATCCTCATTACTGTCAATTATGATTTAAGGACGTAGGTTCCCTAGCTGATTAGCATAGTAGCACATATATGATTTAGCAGTCACGAAAAACGAACACTCGCAAATTAATATTCAATAAAATCTGAGAATGTATGCCATTATCTAGATCTATTAGAAATAAATAATTTTTTTAAATCCTTCCCTAAACTGGGGTAAAAAAAATTATTCCACCATTATGACCAACAGTGTATATTTCTAATCCTAATTTATTTCTACAATAATATTTATTGGTAGCGTGTGAGACATACATGTACATTAATCGTGCCCGTATAATATTATGACCGTATAGTTCTGATCCTTTATCATAGGTACCGAATTGTTTTTCAGTAAATAGACACAGCCTCTATGGTCCATCTGCTCTATCTTCGAGTCCAAATGTTTCCTCTTCTGTTTCCATTTAAACGTTTGGAAAATTAAACTTAATATAGACCGATCTCCTCCCCCAAATCTGTCTCTCACTTTCTCTCTCAGCCGCCCCTTCTCCCTCTCTCTCCATTTCCCATATTCTGTTCTGTTCTCTCTCTCTCTCTCTCTCATTCTCTCATTGTGTTCTTCTAACACTCTTTCTTTCCCTTCCTCTCATCATGGCCGTCCCTTCTTTAGGCATGATTACTTATATTCTTGTCCTTTCAAATGAAGAAATCGAATAAATACCAACAACTAATGTATGCAATTTGAATTCTGAGTCAAAGTTAAGATACAAATTGTATTCGTAACAGGTGAATGATATAATGCGTATCGAGGTGCTTCACAAACAGGCATATGCACAAATCTGGTTACATTACGAAAATAGCCTTTTGAATTGTCCATGTTTTATTGTAAAATCGTATACCCCACTCTTTATCTTCCCCCTCCCCCCCCCCCCCCTCTCTCTCTCTCTCTCTCTCTCCCTCTCTCTCTCTTCTTAATTTTGCGATTGCTTACCCCTCCATATCTCTTTGTCCTGGTTTATCTGCTCTACTTGGTCTATCTCATCAATCAACATATCACCAAAGGCACGATTACAAGATGATCAAGATTTGACTTATTTTTATTTGTGATTTACGTTTACATTCCAATAAAAAATATATTCTACAAACAGATATGTTAATAAAAAACGATTAAACTATAAGAATTGAAACTAAATCATTTCACAAGGAAACATGGACAAAACTTATGGTAACATTTTGAGCCCCCACCCCCACGCCATCCGTCCCTTCTCTGCAACGAAGCAGAGATACTAACATACTTATGGTAACTTAATTACTAAAACTAAATGGATTCACTCCCCTTGCGCCTTCCATCCCTTTAACTTTCACTAACAATTGAATTAAGAATGGTAATTCTTGGCTTTAAAAAAAAAAAGGGGGGGGGGGAACCGCGCTCAGATCCGTGTTAAAATGAAGGAAAATATATTGAAGTACGATTTAAAATGTATAATTACGAATAACTATATAGTACTGCTCTTAATAACATCGAGTTACGAATTTCTAAAGTAGATTCCAATTTCTGCACTGTAAATAATAAGTGCCTATATTCACATTTAAGCTTGAACTTTAAATCGCGGAACCAATTTAAATTCCTAGACAATTTTATGGTCGCTTCTAAAACGCCCTCTTCATGTTGGATTCATCTCTAGATCCATATTACGGAAATTCATGTAGGAGCCTAGCCTGTTGGCGCGCCCGGTGAAAACTGGGCTGGTGAGCATAATTATGAGTTTGTTGATAACGCCATCTCCGACGGCTTGAATCAAGTGTGTAGGGAAATTATAAAGGACCGTGCAGATTCTGGAATACCATCTATACACAGAATGTGGCCAACTTGGTTTCACTGTGTCACGACACATGCGTACATTCTTTTGTTTGTGCTTGCTCAACAAAGCAGTATAGTCGCCATACACAGTGTCCAGCTCGAACCGTGTTGGCCAAACTCTCCTAATCAATGGCACTGGACACCTCTGATAGATACTGCCATCTATAGTTGGTATTATTATGATCACATGCAAGCAATACCCTCTATTGTAGGCCCATCTTATGCTGGCAAATCCGTTGTTAGAATACACTCAAAATAGTATCAAAGTATGAGTCATATATTGGATATATAAAATCCCTTTTAGAACAAATTTCGGAGAACTGAGGAAAAATGTAAACAGTTGCAAATCCTTTTGCGTGATGTGGTTCATTCTGCATGTTTGGTGTTATAGTTATGATGTATCTCCTGAAGTCAAGACCGCTGTATTGAAAATGTCCAACGTCGGGAGTACACATTCTAGATTGTATTGTAACAAAAGAACCCTCATGCCTAAAACAAAAAGATGTTGCATAGCTCTTTAGATGCCATCACCTTGGTCGGTCTGTCGATTTTTGTTTCCTTTTTCCCCTTTTTTCTCCATTTCCCCCCTCTTTTGGCTGATGTTTTTCAGTTTTTAATGCTATAATGCATATTTGTTTATTCATTCAGCAAAAAAAAAAAGGGAATAACAAAAATCCGACCAAAGATTCTAAGATTTGTTGGTCGGTCGCGAAGGGCAATACAACAATTTTTTTTGTATAAAGCCTCATGCCCACGCATCCATATAACCTATTAAAACCAATTTGTTAACGTACCGTACATTTAAATTCTAAAGAGTCAGGCAACGCTTCTGTAATGAGCTCTTGGCTGTCCTCGTTCACTTCCGTTCTCCAGATGAGGTTTATCTATAACTTAAAATTTGAATGGACTTAAGCTCCGTACATCTATGATTGCTCCGTTATATCGTTGAACAAAATGAGTAAGTATTATTCAGTGTAATTTAATTTTGTTTTCATTTTCCTAATTTTATCGATTGAATCGCACACGAAATTGAAATTTTTCCTAAGTGGATTTCGAAGCCAGAAACGGCTGAAAATACTTCACCTCACTTCAAGCAGGCGCCCTTATATTTAAAGACACGTTATTCCCCTTTTTCGATATAAAAAACATACAATCCAAAATCTACTTACATTTGCGTACAGCGCCATCACTGGTGCAAAATGTTTTAGAATCGGACGTCTGGAACCTTCGAGCTTGTACCGTATCCAAGGAACAATAACAAATATGGTCACACGCGCTAAACTACTTCTCAGGGAAATTAATACGATGACGCGTTTATGCTGGCTCATTGGTAATATTCTAAAAGTAAATATATTCACCTTCTTTTGTTACTCAGGGTACATACTGACGATGACGCGTGTGTGCCGGTTCATTACTTAGATTCTAAAATTAAACATGTTAACATTATTTCTTAACTCCCCCTCCCCAACTGACACCAACTGACAAAGGGGGCAGTCCATTATTTGACTTCAACGACCATGAATTATGCATATTTGAATGAAAACGGCAAAATCATGATCACCAAGACTGCTGAAGAATCAGTGTAAAGTAATTTCATTCGCCTCGTTCTTCACATGTGCAGACTTTATATTGTAAATTATCACATGATCCGACAATGACTTGGATTTAGAATTGCACTAGAGTTGACTTTTCGAACGTAGTTGTGATCGTTTTAATGTATATTTTTAAATTAAACGACAACATGTAAAACGATTTCAACCTAAACGTCTAATGGCTCCCAGCAATTCTTCGTGATCACAATATTACCTTAACAGGACTTGGTAACATTGTTCAGATGAGAGAAAATGGTGCTAGATGTACAAATTAAGGTAATATTAAACAAATCACTATTAATGATGACAATTAGACAAATTTATCTGATCGATTCCTTAATTCTCCTAACTAGATTATTACAATTCCAATACATTTTAGGTGAATGCAAATCTTTAGACGGCAATAAAATGGCTCTATATACCAATCCATACATTTAGGTGTTTAAAGATTTTTTTAAATCATGTCTTATGTCTTTTTTCATGGAAAAACGATTGTAAAAATTCAAAAGTGGTTTGGAGAATTTACTTGAATCACTGTTAAATGGTG